AGCTTCTAGCGGAGTTCTTGCCGTTTTTCACATTTTGAAAGTAGCGCAGCCTCAAAAATCGCCTTCCGGATCGTCCGACACATTTGAGAGGTCATAGCCTTATTTTATCGCGGAATGTGCCTTTAAGAACTTGTACTGTTTGTGTGTCAGGCGGGCGAGGTGGTTAAGTGGAAAGTAGCTCACTCACCGCGAGCGTGAGGTCCAGTGGGTCGAATTCCGGCACGGCTCCGCTTAAAGTCTTTTATTCTCCGGGGACGGAAACTGGTACCTGACTCGTTTGGGAGGGCAAGAACACTGAATTGTATATCGGCAGGCCCGCGCAACTCATTGGATAAGCTTTATGGCCATTCTAGGATAGGCTCCTTCGATTCAGAATGGAGGTAGAATGCGTTTGCATCCCACAAAGGGATTAATCAACGGGGGATACTTTATCCTATTCCCCCTGTTCTGCGGTCGGCTGGGCGCTTGAGGTACATGGCCTGAGGTCGACTAGCTAGGTTTTTACTCTAGCTAGGAAGTAGGCGCAATGCCGCAAGTTGCTATGCTGCTCTACACCCGGATCAAGACTTTTCTAACTATCTAGTAACTTTTGCGATAACTCCTTATTCTATTTAATTGCAGAGGGGTATTCTCAGACAGCACATGTCAAATCTATGGAGGAATCGACATGGCACTGTCGCTATCACAAGTAATACTGGCGACTATCATCGCTTTTGATCGCTACATCGTGACGAATACACCCAAATGGGGTGAGTCAAACGACTTTGATTAATTTTCAAAGTGCAGTGACCTCAGTTCTAGGAAGCCGTTGCGGGAATTTTTAGTTAGATTTTAGAGCTAACCTCATGACAAAGACTAGTATGAATTGGAAAAGAAGAAATAGATTGGAGTTGAAAAATGCTACCAAACACAGATGATTGTTTGATCCTTGATCCCTGTTGAAACCACTCGTCACATGTGTCCTTGGGTTCCTCACTGGGTAATAAGTGCGGGAACAAGGCTTCGTTGAAGGCAGTACAGCTGGCTTTGCAGTTAGCACTTGGTAAGTTCAATTTAGGTAAGAAATGATGGAAATAAAGTGAAAAGGACGTTGCCTCTGAAAAACGTCGACTGACAGGAACAAGGGCAACTATTCAGAAATAACTTCATCCATTCTTTATGTGTTTTCATCAGTGCTTACATATATGGCACAGCTACGTACATAAATATTGACTTAGAGCATATGTAGATAAGAAGTAGATGAAGCGTTGGGGTGACAGGCTGAGTCGGAAGTTTCAGAGGGTATGTGGCAAGAGAATCGTAATTCGCCGCGCTAGTGGGCGTCGCGTGCGACGTCGCGCCCGCTAATGACGACGATTTTAGGTGGTATTGGTCGAGAATAGCAAGTATGACCAAAAATAGACATAATGTCCACCATGTCCTTGTCTACATAAAATCCGATGCTCCAATCGAAAGGGCAGTGCAGCTATAGGGAACGTCGCGCCCACTGCCGCGCTCGACGAAGTTTACGGTTCTCTTGCCGTCTCGCACTCTCACCATCAGAGGATTTAATATGCTGCTAGGGTATCACATACTCAATTAATTTAGCGATACAAAGCTTATATTTAGGTAAATGGCGATGTCATTCGAATTATATCAAGTTGATCTTCTCCCTTACAAGTTTCGCAACTCTTTGGAGTGTTGTGCCTGCTACCGGCTACGGTAAATATAGTACCTTCCACGGGAACACATTTTGTTCATTAGATTGGCGACAGGTACGGTTACTCCTGCGATGCGGTTTTCCCATTTACTGTGAAGCGTTTTCATTCGGACTTTAGGGCGATTTTGATGCAAACTTGAAAGAATCATCCGATGCCGCTCATCACTACATAGCGTTTCTCACAGCCACCTGTTTGATCTTCTTCCTTATACCAGTTTGTATTGCTTCGTCATTTTACTACAGTATCATAGACCACGTGGACAGGTAAGGTTTATTGCATAGTACACACAATCTTGTCCGCTGCGGATGCTGGGTTGTTTCAGATGGGGAGGATGGGGGGTAGGTTTGCACAGCGTCAGCCTAATTTCCACCAATTCTTGTCTCTTGCTGCTTTCAACAATTGGTGAAGAATAAGCTGGCGCCAAACCGAACCCTCTTGATACGTTCTACCGAACAATCAGAACAAGATTATCCGAAATTTTTTATAACCCTTTGTTGGCAAGATACTTCTTCGTTTCAAGCTTTCATGATTCCGTATTTTTCTGCCTTTCCATTATGCTTATTTACATTTACTGCATGTAAAGCTGAAAACGAAACATACTCATTGAAAAGTTTCTGAAATACTCTGGCGAAAAGAAAGGTGAGACTAACTGGGATGTAGCTGCCAACGAAAACGTGGAAACATGTTTCCTTCTTTGACAAAGCGAGGCTCCAGAGGGCTAGTTATCTCACGAGTGCAGTTTTTCCACAGATGGGAGAGATCGTCAGGATTTCGGGTGGGCGCTTGGTTTTTTGCATACGAACGTCGCATCCGCTTGTCAAATATCCTCCTAGCATCGGCGCCAAAACACAAATAAAATTTTGTTGAAATTTCGAAGCTAAGCACAGTTCAAAACCTGAACACGGTCATTCCGATAGCCTGGCATAAAAACGCCCGGTACGTGCCTCAGGGGTGCTGGCGTCAGAAACAATTGTGCCGCTGTTGCTCGTGGACCATGCCTTTTCACTTCAAATGGATGTGATATCCATGTTCAGGATCTCAGTCGCCATCCGATGACAAAGTTCTGACCATCCTTTCCCCCCCGCCTTGGAAGAGAAAATTTGATAAATCTTGCCGAAATTTCAAAGGGTAGTAGAGTAAGTGTCTTCTTCGAACCAAGACATGTTCGATGTTTTGTGTCATTGGACTCTGCGCCTCGAAGACGTTTACATGAAGGAGGGTAACCAAACGATTTCTGATTCGAAAGGATCTTCTTAAAGTTTCGCCTTGCTTTCATCGGATATTGCTCCTTTTGAGTAGCTACATAACGTCACAATGTATGGCTCGTCAGAAAGCCTGAAATTAAAGGCAGTTGGCACGATGGTTTCCTACTCGGCCTAAAATGCTAGTAGGGCGCTATGTAGTGGGGAAATGGCGAAAGAACGGAGTGAAACGGTCAAAATCCTGCGAAGAAAAAGCCTTCTCAGTGACTTGTAAATCGATTTCGGACGAGTTTCCCGTAGGCATCTTGCCAATCACCGCTACCGATGCATATGTGTACCCATATATGCATGCAGCATCACGGCCGCTTCATACCAATCCCTTCGCTTCATAATTTGCTTAGCAAATGAATGAATACGAGCGTCAGGAACGGTCGTCCATTTGTGGGCGGGCGGGCGTGGCGGGCGTTTGGGACGTAATGTTGTGGCTTGATAGGGCCCTTATAAGGGCACCTTCCTCGGGGAAACCGCTATGCAGCGCCTGCCCAGGGTCGCGGAATTCTATTGCCAGGAGTATTGATCCTAGTCGTCTTGGGGGATTTATCGTGCCAATTGCCTCCAAGGGTAATATGAACAACTTAAGCACCTTTTCTTGATATTACTTTCGCGTTGACATAAGCAGAGCCGTAGTGCGAGTCCTTACCTACGTGAGAGTTGAGCTTGTGGTGAAGAAAGTTTGGGAAGTTCGAAGGAGTGCGCAAGGAGTGGATTCAGGAAGGCTAACTCCGATGTTTCTAACGCAACCTTTTGGGAAGTAGGTTGGTGGACTATTCCCTGGTAGTGAGCTATCATTTTTCTCACTTCCTCATTTGCTGATCATTTGAAAGGAATTTCGATGTTGTTAGGTAGCCTTGGCATTCAAATGTCATTCACGG